GTACACTATTCTTTAAGCTAAGTAAATAAGTTATTTATTAATAAGGTATATATAAAAGTCTTATTATAATTATTATAGGCTATATTACTTACTATATTAAAGGAAAAAGTATATTATTATTTAATCTTTAAAATAGTAGTATAAAGAGTAAAGTTAATATTATTATTTAGTAATTATAGTTATATACTCTTTATAATCTTCCTTATAACTATAGTATTAACCTAGCTTAATAATAAGTTATTTACTTTTTACTATTTATATATCCTTAGCTTAGTAAAAAATAAATTACTTATAGTAATAATCTATTCTTACTTTATTACTTTATTATTAATAGTTAGTAGTACTAGCTAAATAAGCTTTTAGCCTTACTACCTTATTTACTAGCTAACTAAAAGGTTATTCTAGCTTATAAAGCTAGCTTTATATTATCTTTAGTGCTTAGTGTTTTACTTTATAATATATTTAGTTAGTATAGATACTCTAAGGTACTTAGGAAGCTCTTTTTTATTATCTAGATTAATAAATTACTAGACTTTATATTAGATAGTATAAAATTAAAGCTTTATATACTATAAAAGCTAATCTTTATATATAGTTAAAAGGCTATAAAAGTAAGTATTAGTTAGTAGACTTACTATTACTTCTAAATATATTATAGGTATAAAATAAAATTAAGAAAAAGTATTAGTTTTAAGAAAAGTATTTTTAAGTATATACTACTTTATAATAGTAAAGGTTATTATTACTTATAAATTAAGTTAAAGCTAGGCTTATAACTATTATTAAGTAGTATATTTAGGGGGTAATTTATATAGTTAAAAGTAGCTTATTTCTTTTATCTATAGTACTATAATCTATGTTCCTTAAATATTACCTTACTTAGTAGATTCTACTATAAGTATTTATATTTAGGAGTAAAAGTTAAATTAATAAGTAATATTGTTCTAGAAAGTAGTATTAGTTAATAATATCCTATATAATATAGTCTAATAATATATAAGTAAAAATATATTAGTAGGTTTATTTATATATTTATATATTAGAAAAGATATTTTATTAATACTAATACTATTACTTCTTTATATATATTATATATATTTAAAAGTAGTTATATTATTATTTACTCTTAGTTACTTAGTTACTAATACTAAGATTTCTAATATTATTACTATAAAAAGTATTTAGAATAATATTAGTAATATAGTATTCTTTTACTTTTTTAATATTATAATTTAAAACACTATTTATACTACTTTCTTCCTAGTTATAATAATTATAACTAATAGTATACTCTATAGTATTACTAATAATATTCTATTATATAATATATTAGTATAAGTTATAATTTATCTTTAATTATATATAATTTTAAAAACTAATAAGTTACTTACTTTAAATTCCTTATAAGTATTATTAGTAATACTATTTATTTTATTATTAAATACTTTAAATAATAGTAGCTTTAAAGAATTACTTATAATACTATCTTTATCTTGTATTATAATATTTTGTAGTATAGTATAAGGATTAAATATCTCTAAAGTATTAATATTCTATTAGTCTTATAAATCTTGTTGTTTAGTTTCTTCTTCTTCTAAGTCTTCTAATAATATATTATAAATAGAAGAAATATAACTACTAGAATCTTTTATTAAGTTAACTATATCTATAACACTACTACTAGTATTATTATTTACTATAAGATTTAAGGTATTATAGTAGTTAACTTTATTATTAAAGTCTAGGTATTTCTAATAATAAAATATACTAAGAGGTAAAGAGGATTCTATCTAAGTAAGTAAAGTTAGCTAAAAGAAATAAACTAATTATATTCTTCTTAAATATTAAAGTACTTACTATTTAGAATATATTTAGTATTTTATTAATTATAAATATATTATAGCTTAAGAAAAAGGTTACCTATAAAGGACTATACTTAGAATAATAACTAATAAATATAATCTATAGATAATAAGGTAATACTTAATAATATAATAAGATATTAAAAAATAAAAAGATATAAATCTTAAGAACTTAGATATTAAGATATTTATACCTTAAAACTACTTTACTAAGTATTATTATATAGTATTATTATATATAAATATTATATATATTTCTTATAAGTTTTACTTTATAGAATAATTCTAGGAAGTAACTTTATAAAGTATATAATCTAAAGTATAATATAAACTATGTATAGTTATATTATATATTCTCTACTATAAACTAATTATACTTTAGTTTTTTATAACTTTTAAGGTCTAACCTTATAAAATTATATAATTTATAACTATACTATATAGTTATATATATAGTTTTATTATATATACTATACTACTATAAACTACTTTTACTTAATCTTTTTATAACTTATAACTTATAACCTTATAGAATTATATAGCTTATAACTATACTATATAGTTATAAGCTATATAAAGTATATTATAATATATTAATATTTAGAATATTATATTATAAGATATTTAAAGTAAATATAGAGTATAAGTCTTAATATAAAAAAGTACTATACTTTACTAAAATATTATTATTATTTTAGTATTACTATATATATTAACTTTAACTTTATATTATATATATTATTTTTAAAAAAAAGATAAAAAAACTTAAAATCTTATAATTATTATAAAACTTATATATTTCCTAAAGTAGTAATTAGTAGGGCTAATAAGTTACTTACTTAAATAGGAAAGGCTTATAAAATCCTAGTGTTTTTATACTTTTTTCTTACTTATGCACTTTTACCTTACTATTATTTTTATACTTTCTTCTTACTTATACACTTCTATCTTACTATTATTTTTATACTTTCTTCTTATTTATATACTTCTACCTTACTATTGTTTTTGTACTTTCTTTTTACTTATATACTCTTACCTTACTATATATACAAGGTAGTAATATATAAAGACCTATATTAGAACTAGAAAAAATCAGGTTTTTTACCTAAACTAAGGGTAAATATTTATCCTCTTTTATTTCTAAGAATTCTAAGAAAAGAAGAAGAAGAAGAAGAAGAAGAAGAAGAAGAAGAAGAAGAAGAAGAAGAAGAAGAAGAAGAAGAAGAAGAAGAAGAAGAAGAAGAAGAAGAAGAAGAAGAAGAAGAAGAAGAAGAAGAAGAAGAAGAAGAAGAAGAAGAAGAAGAAGAAGAAAAAGAAGAAGAAGAAGAAGAAGAAGAAGAAGAAGAAGAAGAAGAAGAAGAAGAAGAAGAAGAAGAAGAATATCTATATATACTACTTAAATCCTCCTTTTATTTTAGATAGTCCTTAGAATAAGAAATTATACCTTTTTCTATATATTAGATATAATAGATTCTTTTACTCCTTTAGCTAGTTTACTAGTAATAGACCTTACTGCTTAACAAGTTATTATTTAAATAATAGCTTAGTACTCCCCTTAAGGTCTTTCTTAAGCCCCTCCTAGTTATATCTCTCTTATAGAGGTACTACTAGATTCTCCTTCTTAAGGGCTTTCTAATAATACTACTCTTGCCCCCATTAACCTTTTCTCTGAATTTATAGAGTATCTAGAAGATATTTTATTTTCTTTTACCTCCTGAGAAGATACTTTAACCCCTTCTACCTACCTTTTAGCTCTAGAAGAAAGCTTTTAGCCTTCTTTCATACCTTAGTTAGTAAGTAATAATTATTATAGTATTTATATATATATATATATTAATTAGTTATTATAGGGGGTATTAAAGAAGTATACTTGTTCTTTTTATAAGACTTCTTATAAGTCTAAGAGGTCTTATGCATCCTATATACGTTAGTCTAAGTAGAAAAGAGGAAGGTGTTCTAGAAAATAAGCCTAGTATATAGTTAGTATATAGATATATATACTATATATATTTTTAGAATATTTTACTTATATATTTTAACTTATTATTTTATTAAATAGTTAT